CGCCACTGCCTTCTGAAGCAGTTGGCCGATTAAGTACCGTAACTGTGATAGAAGCTTACTGCGAGTAAAGCGAGTCCCTTCAGGTATACCTATTCAGGTCAATCAATTGTGTACCGATCCCTGCGGCTTGGTAGGTTTTTTTTTGTTTGCAGGTTTTTGGGTGAGAGAACAGAGCTCACTTCTTGGCGTCAACGTTTAATTTTACGCAAGGTAAGCGTTGCCTTCTATTTTTGGATCAAGGCATTTGGAACGAATTCGGATGATATTAATTTCTAATTAAATGTTTCATTAATTAATAAATTTTAATTATAATTCTTGATAATTAATTGATATGATTTCCTAATTAACACTTTCATTGTAAACGTTAGAGTATTTTTCAGAATTGATTAAGATTAAGAAAATTTTTACCCTAATTTTTCGCTATCAATGTGTGCGTTAATGCGTTTGTGACAGCTTGGATCTGATGTATTGAGCTTTTCATTTATTTTAGAAAAGACAAAGGTGATTGTTTGAAGATATCGAGGACGAATTGCGTTCATTTAAAGGGCCGTTTACCAAAAAGCCGAGTTTGCGGTCTTTGGAAAATGTTCTTTTTAGCAGTTTTTGAAGCAAAGTTGTGAGCTATAAGAAAAATCAGTTTGCGAGGCCCAGTTTGAATCTTAGAAGAAATTGGTTCTATCAAGTTCGGTGTTTTCCCAAGTTCGAAGCCCAGTTTGTTTTTGTTTTGTAAAATGAAGAAGACACGTGCGTTTACATTTTAAATTTATTTGTACGGCACACGGCACACGTTTTTGATGGTGCACTCTGCGTTACTCAGATATGATCATCAACGTCACTACAACTTTGTCGGGGATATGAAATGGGACAGCCTAGTTTTTGTGTCACATGGTATCAGGTGCATCTGTTTCCCGGTAATTTAATTAGTTTTTGGTGTGTTCGGCCTGTATTTGAATATTTTAACTCGAAAACTGTAAGTTTTCCTTGGTAGTTTTTTAATGTTTGTCTTTTGTACCTCCATGTGGGTGTTGTTTATTCGGACATTGTAGTTCAATTTCTTTTTGATAGAAGTTTACATAAAATTATGCAAATTGTGTGTTCACTCAAATCCTCAAACGACGAAGAGAGAAGTCTTATGTTCGATTACGATTAATTTTATGGATTCACGCCCAAACTTCATTTTAAGTGTCAAAATTTGGTAAATGACCGTTTGGAATTTAAGGATCCTGGCCATTGGTTTGCTTGGAATCAGGAATTTAATATCAATTCTGCTGTGCCGGGGTGCGGATGTGTACCGAGAAACATTTTTATTAGAGCTAGCTAGGTTTGAGAAGTGTTGTTATTGCCCCGAAGTTCAAGGGTCACAGCATGTTTATTTTCTCGCCCAACGTGGGGCATTTGCATTCATTTGTTTTGTGTATCGTTCTTTTTGGCCGGAATGACTGCACAAAGCAGTATTGTTGTGTAAACAACGTCATGTAGACGTCAGTCTAAACACCAAAAATACTAACGGAACATACTGTATATGAGAATATTCCCATTCTATTTTAAACCCGGTAAATCCGGTGGGTTTTTCACGAATGAGCACAAAGTTGGTTTGTTTAATTTGAATTTGTATTTCAGTGTTTGTCTTTCCTCTTAGAAATAGATGCGAAGTTTTTGTTTTAATTCGCTTTTGTAATTCAATCTAGATAAAGGTTTAGAGTAAGACACATATGGTCAATTTGCGTACTTTATTAAAGGCTTTATCTGGTTGTTTTGCCATAAGAAAAATCAATAACAATCTTTAGTTCTTGCTTATCAAAAATACGTTTAAATTTTTTCCCGCGCAAATTTAGGTTGTAAAAGAAGCTTAAAATGTGACGTCCCAAATTTTAAACCCACGCATTTATTTATTTATTGCATACATATGGCAGTAAAGTGGACATACACAGACATTTTCACTGGTCATAATAGTATTTTGTATTTCTGGACATGTGTTACACTTCCAAGCAAATTATTGTATGCAACACGATATTTAATTTAGAAATCGCCCCCACACAATTTAAATAAATGTAAATACGACCTAAGCTGGTTACATACGCACATCCACTACAAAAGTACAATATTATTTTCGTTCCCTTTTTGGATTTCTCATTTGCCAAACATGGACCACATTCTCTTTACAACATTCCTGGAAGCTGACATTTTACCAACGGAAGTAAAGGATAACAAGTTAAAAAGTAATCGTAAACGATTTACATAAAGCGCATTTCCACTTGCATTCATTTCCCATTTGTAAGATGCAA